ATGATAATCTTTGGTGAGAACAAGAAGAACACAATTTCTGGCGTTTGGTTTTGGCGTGGGGATAAGCTTGCCTTCGAGGTTGGTACATGCTTTTATAATTTTTGAAATAGTAGATTGGCTTGAAATGAAATTCTCTGCTATGGTCAGATCAGACTCCGAGTTAACAAAGCATTCTCAGACTTAAGTTGAGAATTTGCTCAACTTTCAATCACTGTTTATGAGAAATATCTTTGATCCAGAAACACAAAGCTTTGTACATAGTTTCTTATTGGTGTATTTGATACATTAAAACAACAAAATTATTATAAAGGGCTATATTATAGTTAAAATAAGGTGAACAAGTTTGAGTAAATTCTCAACTTAAGTCTGAGAATGGTTTGATGAAGGGTTTCGAAGGAAGGAAAATCATTGAAGATGATACGAAAACCAAGGTTCTGTGTAAAATAGCAGCATGTTGTGGATTCCGTGACATTTGGACAATTAAAATAAGAGAAGGCCATAGCACCGATGTTCTGGTAAAATTTGCCTCATAGCACACTGCATGGTGTAGGCCTGTCTTGTTAGCCCAGTCGGAGCCGAAAAATATTCCATTGAAGCCCAATTTCTTTCAACAGTATGGGGGGGGGGGTTGGATGGCCAAATGGTCATAAGGACTGTCATTGAGTCAACTGGCGTGGTTTCGAATCCCCGGTTGTACGTGACAAGGAGTAGGGTCGTTTGTCCAATCTCGTGGGTTTTCTCTGGGTCCTCTAATTTCCTCCCACTGCTAAAGACCCCTTTGCGCAAGCAAATTATAGAAATAAAATTGAACCATGTGTTAGTCTCTAAATGACCTAGTTTGTGTTGAGTGAACGTTAAACCTCATTTCTCTATCTCTCTCTCAACAGTATGCATATCATGCAAAATTTCCTGGTTGATGTTGACAATCTCACATTTCTCACAACTGAAGTCCACACTAAATTGTACTTAACGGAGGTTGGATTACTGAATGGTTAGCGTGTGCACGTTGTATCATAAGGTCTGTCATTGTCAACTGGTGTAGTTTCGATTCCCCGGTTGTATGTGACAAGGAATAGGGTCGTCTGACCTACCTCGTGGGTTTTCTCTGGGTCCTCTGATTTCCTCCCTCTGCTAAAGACCCCTTTGCGCAAGCAAATTATTGAAATACAATTGAACCATGTGTTAGTCCCGAAATGACCTAGTCTGTGTCGAGTGAATGTTAAACCCCATTTTGTGTAGTAATAAGATGACTCTAAACCCATGTGTTTATATAATTTCAGCTTTCTGAAGACTGGCAGATTGACTATGAATCCTACTCATGGAAGAAACTAGACCCAGAAGCACCAGAAACAAAGCAATTAGTTACAAAATATTTCACATGGGAAGGAGATTTTGATGGTAAAGAGGTCTATGAGGGAAGAGTTTTCAAATAAACTGAGGCCTTTTAATTGACAATTTAAAAAAGTTAAAATATACAAAAAAAAGTGTAAAAATATTTATGAAGTACTGGGATCGGCAATAAAATGTGATGAAAGGAAAGGAAATTGTTTTTATTTGTATTTAAACATGCATTATGCAAGAGCAAAATCTGCTTATTACAGGTCTTTCTTTAGGCCTGAAATGTTATCTAAATTATCAATTAGACATTAATTAACTTATCCAGACCATAATAAACTCTCGATGTCAAGGCTAGCCTTCGATGTTGGCTGGATTAGATTCCTATATGCCGCTAACGGCTATTGATAATTAGATCAATAAAAGCGGATAATCGAGACTATGCTGTTTATATTAATGATTTTAGTAATGATGACCGAGACTATGCAAAAATTTCAAACGCTTCTTTCTCGGCTCATAGTGGATCAATTTGACTGAAATTTTCAGCAAATTACCTTTACACTATCTAGTTTTTAACTATTATAGTGAGAACTGCCATCTTGTTATCTTATCTCCCATAACGTATCTTTAATTTTTTTTCCTCACCTTTTGGAAATAGAAGGCTACTATTACTAATACATTATGTAAGATTTAGATAAAGAGCTAGCCATTCTTGCTATAATTGTGCCTGTCCAACCTCGTGGGTTTTCTCTGGGTCCTCCGGTTTCCTACCACTGCTAAAGACCCCTATGCGCAAGCGAATTATTGAAATAAAAATGAATCATGTTACTCCCGAAATGACCTAGTTTGTGTTGAGTGGACTTTGAACCCCATTTCTCTCTCTCTCTGTTATAATAGTTCGAAAATAGATAATGTAAAATGAATAATTTGAAAATTTCATTCAAATTACTCTATTGTGAGCGAAGATATTATCCTTCGAAGGTTTAACAAAACCTTTGCAATAATTTCAACCACCATACTGTTTTTTTGAAGCCAAGTCTCGCTCCTCCATTTTTAGCTTGAATCAAAATATGGCTGAACTGTTCTAATCTATTTAATATTGGAGAAATCCGATGCCATCGAGGATTGATTATGGCCTGGATAAGTTAATGTCTAATTAATAATTTAGGAAACACTTCAGGCCTAAAGAAAGAACTGCAATAGGCAGATTTAGCTCTTGCATAACTCCGCTTCTAATTTTGATTCAGAGGTAAAACTGTCTAACTTGGCGTAGATCAGTGATTCTCAATCTTTTTATGTCAATGGCACACCGTGGAACACATGAATAAAAATAGCGGCACACCTGACTAAATATATGAAAAATATTTGACTTTTGGAAAATAGAATATGGCAAGTCATAGACGGCATACAACCATAGAAACAGACTAGTCATAGACCAGAAAACACAGCTATGAACTGACCAGTAGACACCAGTGAATACTCAATTGTGATCACAGGGTTTTTCGCATTTTCTTAGGAGTGCTGTTAAAAAATTTCGCCGCACATTTAGGAAGATCTTGCGGCACAATGGTTGAGAATCACTGGTGTAGGTGTTCATTTAGTTGAATGCATCGACCATGGGTTCCAACTCGGCCATAATTACAGGTCATGACTGCTTGAATGATACAATGTCAGATAGTCCTCAATATCGGTCAATTTTCACGCAGTAAAACTAGCATATTTTTCAAAAGCCCATTTTCATACCTGGCTACGATTGACCTCTGGCATATAACAGAATATTGCATACATATAGAAGCCACATTATCTCCCTAGTTCTATACATTTGTAGCTGTCAACAGATTATGCTGAGTATTGTGTTGATAATTAATGATGTATGTCTAGTAGTAGAAAACTTTTTATCTCCCTTGGCCCAGTCTAGTTACTAATTGAACTTGTAGCTACCTATAAAATATAGAGCCAGACAGGTTTATTTGAAATCCATAGCATGATGAGCGACTTCAGGTGCTGCTGACAATTTTGAATCCATAATGGTATTCAGACAACAAGGATGCCGCAGGAATTGAAAAGATGTATCGTCAAAATGAAAGGATGCAGGCAACTTAAAGCTGGAGATTTCAGGAAGAGAGACTCGACACAAGCTAGGTCATTTCGGGACTAACATGGTTCAATTTTATTTTAATAATTCGCTTGCGCGTAGGGGTCTTCATCAGTGGGAGGAAACTGGAGCACTCGGAGAAAACCCAGGAGGTTGGACATCACGCCAGCTGACTCAATGACGGACTTAATGATACAATGCGCACGCGCTAACCATTGTGCCATCCAACTCCCTCCCCCAACCCCAACAGATTTCAGAGACGGGTGCTTCTACGATCAAAGCGTGGTCCAGTGGGTATGTATCGGGCTCACTGGCAGGTGTTGTCATGGTTTCTTATTGGAGCAGAGGGCTTGACATTTGATCTGAAGATGCGTAAACCTTTATGACGTGAAATTTCTGGATGCCGAGAACAGTTGGAAGTGGGCTTACTAGTAAAACCCCTGGTTGCTAGGAAACAGTTGGGGTGAGCGGGAAAATAAAATATATGTAGGTGAGTAAATTTCCCCAGAAAGAAGGACCCCCGGCACCATAACAGACAAAATTTGGTTATTTGTTGTCCCCCACAGCTGGGATCTTTTCTGCTCCAACTGGCACTGCGGCCCCTTTTTTCGAAGTCCAACTGTCAACTGTTCTTTTACCGGCATGCCAATGTGTACATAGTATCTTGGTTTTTCGTATCATACAAACGACTAGACACTGTCCTTTTGCCAGGTCATTAGACATTGAAGTGGGGAACCACTCTGGAAAATGACGAACAATTTTCTCAGCCATCACCGGGAGCAAACCAGGGATATCCTGATTAGTTAACCAGTGTTTCACTCACTTACCCACTGCAGCCCCATCTTCAACTCCCTACATCTCATCAAGCCCCTCACGTAATACCCTGAGTATTTCGTCACAAATTTGGGGTCACGGACCCACGGTAGCTTAGTGGGTAAGACGCTGGCTCGCTAGCCTGGAGGTCAGGTGTTCGATCCCTGCATTGGCAGAGAAAGTTCATCCAGGTTTTCCGGTGTGGTTCCCCCTTGTCAGTGTTGCAGGACGGAGGGCCTGACAAGGACAGCTATCTAGTCGTTCGAATGGGTAAAAAAACGTAAAAGATCCCTTGGCAGTTGGAATTTGATATAAGAGTAGGCCATAGTGCCGCTGTCCGGGCAAAATCTCCCTCATAGCACACTGTATGGCGTATGCCCGTCTTCAGTTGCCCAGTTCGGAGCAGAACAGTAGGACGTTAAACCCCCCATTTCATTTCAATTTCATTTTGTCACTAATTTCGATTGGGTACTGACCCAGCTTGAGTGCCTATCCGACACCTCGATCATCGCAAATACCATGTCTTGCGCTTTCCAGCTAAAATGTCTACCTGTGATAATTGAGTTGCTTAAGGTTCGTTTAATGTGAAGGTTTCCGTATTTGATTTGAGTGTGTTTGTGTCACAACCTCTAAAGGGAGACAACACAGCTATAATTTCGGGAATTGCAAAGCTGTGTAGCAATGTCTAGATGCTGTAAAACTCGCAGTTGTTGCTTCAGGAACATGCTGCAGCCTCCACTACATAATAAAGAAAACCTTTTTTTAAATGGTTAAAATTTTATTGAGCGAATAAAATAAAATACTGGTCGCAAGTTCAACAGGTCAGTTAAAATAGGCTTTTTTAAAAACCACGTATAAAGTGTAAATAGCTATGAAAAAGTCAAGATGTAATAATTGTTGAAATGATAAAATGAATTTCTAATCAACAGAAATAAGATAAAATACAGGGTCCTTATTCACAAAAGCTTTAAGAATGCTGCCATTTCATTGGCTAAGGGCTAAATTTTGTAATTGGATTTTAAACCTCAACCAATGAACATGTTGAAGCTTTCAAATAAGAGCCATTTCATTGGCTAAGGGCTAAAATTTGTACCTTAATTTTAACGATTAACCAATGAACACCCTTTAAATAGTCTTTATGGATAAGGCCCCAGCTCGTTGGGTGTAAAATATCCGGTGGATCGATAATGTTTTTTTAGAATTAGGATATAAGGCCAAGGCGCACACGGCAAACCTCAGCTGATTCCGTTACTCTACATCTAGCTAGATGTAGGGTACTGGAATAGACATAATCAAATGAATTTCAAATCAATAATACCACAAGAAAATGAAATTTTTAGTTTTTCAGGCGGCTTGATAAAAATTTGTCAAATTTTTAAATTGATTCCCGAAGAACAAAAAATCGAATTGCGGTGTGGCCTAAAACAGATTCGGGGTGTGGTCTAAAACAGATTGGAGTGTTGCCTAAAACAGAATGTATATCAAAGGAATTTCAAAGTATGGTAGGCCCCTACATGTAATTCTCATTTGAAATATTAGATCTGAAAATACATGTAATCATCCCCATTTCAACAATTACATCTCTGACAGTACATGTAATTCCCCTAGGAACAATTACATTTGAAAATATATGTAGTCCCTATTCAAACAATAACATCTAACAATACATGTAATCCCCTTTTAACAATTACATCTCTGACAGTACATGTAATCTCTATTTTAACAATTACATCTCTGACAGTACATGTAATCCTTATCTGAACAAATACAAGAAATAATCATCCTCAATATTTAGAATAATATTATTATGGAATCATCATTTATTATAACATATATAAATATAAGATTTATGCTTACATAACAAAATAAATCAATGTTCAAATGAAGGAACAGCAAGTGATAAACAATATAGATAAGGTCCACAAACTAATTTTTGATCTTTATTAATTCCTTGTGACCATTTATAGATGTAGCCTAGGTTAAAATTTTTATACAGTTTTAATTCTATTACCTAACATAACGAAGCCTCATTGAGACTCTATTATGTATCAGTAACTCTGTATTGAATTCTAAACGATAAAAAAAAAGTATACAGGACAGGGGCATGTGGACACATGATTTTGCTTTTTCTGTTTGATATATTTGATATAATTTGGTCAAAACAGTCTATATAGATTTATATGCCATAAAAAAACAGCATGAAAACTGAGTGAATTGATTTTCTGATAGTTATAAGATAAAGGGTGTCTTTGATCTGCCGAAAAGTGTGAAACCATTTAAGAGAGAGATAGAGAAATGGGGTTTAACCTCCACTCGACACAAACTAGGTCATTTTGGGACTAAAACCATTTTGAAATGTTACGTACAAAATCAGTAACATTTTCCCTTATTCTCTGCTTTTCGGGGGACTAAAGACACTGACAAGAAGCACTGATATATGTAAGTTGTTGGAATGGCTAATTAATGGATTGTAAAAAAAAACATGGTCTACAACTACATGATACTAATCTAAGACCAAATGAAAAAAAAAAAAATTTTTGATTCTCAGATACCCCTGCTAAGTTTTCGTTTCATGTCTTTTAGTTGAGTTTGTGTTTGCCACTGGGTATGCGCAGTGTTTTTTTTTGTACATGCTTATATTGATGTGTAATGGTTGAATAAATACAGTAAGAATCTGGGTTACAGTTAGAATCTGGGTTACAGTAAGAATCCGGTTTACAGTAAGAATCTGGGTTACAATTAGAATCTGGGTTACAGTAAAAGTCTGGGTTACCGTAAGAATCTGAGTCACAGTAAGAATCCCGGTTACAGTAAAAATTCAGGTTACAGTAAGAGTCTGGGTTACAGTAAGAATCCGGGGTACAGTAAGAATCCGGGTAATACCGGTGGAAAGAATCTCGGTTACAGTAAGAATCCGGGTTAAAGAAAGAATCCAGGTAACAGTAGGAATCTGGGTTACAGTAAGAATCCGGGTTAAAGAAAGAATCTAGGTAACAGTAGGAATCTGGGTTACAGCAAGAATCCGGTTTAAAGAAAGAATCCGGATAACAGTATATGCAACCCTGATAAATTGTATTAAAAATAATGAATGATACTGGATAATCATAAATTCAACAATGTGATGAGATAAAAGATACTGGATAATCAACAATATGATGAGATAAATTTAGTGTCTTGGAACGTGACAAAAAAAATAAAACCAAAAAACCCCTCCCATTAGAATTTTAGGGAGGATTGTCTGAGAACTAGATTATTTCTTTTGGCCAAAGCTTTAAAGAAAATAGAGCTACAATATGATCGTCATGATATTGCATTCTCATTTGGTGTAGTTTGGTACATGATGAATATCTTTCTTCTATCATGGTTTGATAATCTAACAAAGATAAAATCCAAATTTTAGTAATTTGATTGGATAATATTAGATTGATTTAATGCTTAGCCAATCAAAATTGAAGTATCTACTAAAATTTGGATCTTATCTTTAGTTAAGATTTCGAGAAACAGGTCACCAAATCTTATTGTAAAGCATCAAGCAATTAAATTGCTTACACTCTGCTTAGCCTAAATAGAAAATGCTGATTATAACTTAGTGGTTTACGTGATATTAAAATCTATATTTAGAAAGACAATGTAATATTAAAATCTATACATAGATTGATAATGTGATATTAAAATCTATATTTAGATTGATAATGTAAAATTAAAATCTATATTTAGAATGTAGTAAACATATAGGTAATATTGAAAATTGTGGCTCTTCAACTAAAATATAATACTAAATTAGTGAATACATTTAAGAGCAATAGAACAGTCCATTATGTTTAAAGCAGTGCAACACAAATATAAAATGATTCAACAGCATTTAGTAATTGAACTGGAATACATTGGTCACAATTCTATGGAATATGGTTATTACTGAGCCATGTTTCAACTAACACAGAATACTAGTGGAAACATTGCTCAGTAAGAAACAGTAATTGTATTCCAGAGAGAGAGAAAGAGAGAGAAAGAGAGAGAGAGATGGGGATTGACACAAACTAGGTCATTATGGGACTAACATACGGTTCAATTTTATTTCAATAATTCACTTGCGTGTAGGGGTCTTTAGCAGTGGGAGGAATCCGGAGGACCAGGAGAAAACCCTCGAGGATGGAATATTCCATAGAATTGTGTCCCTTGTATAACAGAAATAAGATGTAGTTATAACAGCAGAGGAAATAGTCATAATACTATTAACAAAAGTAGTATTGTAGCATACCCTGAACCTGACTGGACTCAACACGTCAAAAGTCAATTGTTTTTCAGTGCTAGCAGAGTTAACACTGTTTTCCATGTATGCATTTTTGTCAGTAAAAATGTCAGTCTAACGCAAATGTAATGGGACTGATTCCATGTAACTGGAAAAAATGTGCATGGAAATGCCATGGAAATGCGTACATGGAAAATGATCCCTATGGATGTTTGATTCCAAAAATCCATCCCCCCAAAAAAGGACAGTGAAAGGCCTAACTGAAAATGAGAATGTTGACTGTAAATTTCTATAAAATTTTCTGTTAAAAGTTACGGACCCTGTGCAACCGCTAAGATCGGCACTGATTATCAATCGTGCCTAAATATAGTCAAGTACGACTGACGAATGAAATTAATATTGTCATTCTGTTTATACACATAATATTAATATGGTTAGTTAAAATAAATGATAAAATTATGTAGGCCAAATAAAAAAAATATTCTAACTCTCAGATAATCCTGCGTCTCTAAAAAATAAAAACAGTCGCATTTAATTACCGCACAGGAAGTAGGCTCATTTATCAAGATTTCCACTGATACTAGATAATCATATATTCCAATAAACACCACAATGAGATAAATGTAGAATCTTGCAATGTGGTGCCTACGAGAAGTCATTTCTCCCAGGAGCCTTCATTAAGCCTGGAAATCAGACACTTGTCACAGACAATGTCGTCAATGTCAGACACAGATTCAGGCTTTGTCAGCCACAAAACCTCTGGTGCCTGTCATCTTGTCCGGCACTGATTTGTCTTTTTTATTGATATTATTAATAAATGTCAGGCACTTAGTTGAAAATGTCAGGTACTATTTCATTAGTGCCTGACATTTTGTCAGGTACACCTAAAACCATTATTTCCAGGCCTTCATTTGACAAAATAAAAACCTTCCTCCTGTGTCAGATTTTTGTTAAGGATTGTCTGAGAGCAAGAATATTTTTTTTGCGTGGCCTTGTGCATGAAAGACGATGTTAGTACAATGTTTATATCTACAGCTGTAGGACGAGGCCAGCCGACGATATATTGTCTCCACCTCCGGCCGTCTGCAAAACATTTGTACAAACTAAGACGGGAGCGACACAAATCTGGTAGTCGTCCTCATCCCAACAAGATACGGGACGGTTTTCAAGGAAATTAACTTTATCCGTGGAATCAGAAACACTTCTGGCAAAGGAATCGTCCATAATAAGTTTGGACTTGAGAACGTCTATATAACTAGAACCGCAGACGTGTCGATGAGCCGTTAACGAAGCTTTGGCGGCTGCCGACATTGTATTTTTCCACGATGAAGATTTCGTGGTTAATATGGCCTGATAGGCTAACGTGTGGACGTGAAGACGCGTTAGTTTTCTACCTGTACGATGACTTTTTCGCATTTTATTATAAACTAATCGCATCTGGTCGAGAACTGTCGCTACTCTAGGATAGCTTTCAGAAACCAGAGTTATCCTCCCATGAGTTAACAGGCCTACTAAGTTAGGTAACTCTTGTTCATTCATACCCAAAGAATCGGAATGAATCATTACTGTTGTGTAAATTTCTTTTAATAAAGCTGAATCGGTGAAGGACGCCATCTCGAAATGAATTTTGGTCGAGGGTGAAACTTGAGCAAGTAAATTCTGTAATTTGTGTAACCTTTCTAATCTTTGACCTGAAAACAAAAACAATAATTTTAATGAAATAAATATGAATAATTTTAAAGACGCATTATGAAATGAAATGAAATGGGGTTTAACGTCCTACTGTTCTGCTCCTATACTGGGATAATGAAGACGGGCATACGCCATACAGTGTGCTATGAGGGAAATTTTGCCCGGGCAGCAGCACTATCGCCTACTCTTATATCGAATTCCAACTGCCAAGGGATCTTTTCCGTGCATTCCAATGCATACACGGGACCTCGGTTTTTCATCTCATCCGAAGGACTAGACAGCTGTCTTTGTCAGGCCCTCCGTTCTGCACCACTGACAAGGGGGAACCACGCCGGGAAATCTGGATGAACTATCTCGGCAAATGCAGGGATCGAACACCCGACCTCCAGGCGAGCGAGCCAGCGTCTTAACCACCTAGCCACCGTGACTCCCAGATGCATTATGTACGATTCGGATAAAGAGCTGACAGTTTCCTGCTATAATAGTTAAAAAATAGATAATGAAAAGAGAATATGTTGAAAATTTCAGTCAAATTACTTCGTTCTCAACTTTGAATCATTGTTTAGGAGAATCTGAGAATGCTATGGGGCCAGCATGGGGCCAGCATGGGGTCAGCATGGGGCCAGCTCTTCAAACTTAGAGCATGCAGAGGACTCATTGAGAATGATGCTGACTTTATCTCTTTTTAATTTTAAAGGGTGTTGCCGTTTCCTGTCCCTACATCTTTTATCAGTTTAAATGGAGTCTTGCTGTTTCCCCAACCTGCTACTTTTATCAGTTTTAAGGGGGTGTTGCCACTCCCCCCTCCCTACCTCTTGTATGTATTAGTTTTAAGGGAGTTTTGCCGTTTCCCCTCCCTACCTCTTTTATCAGTTTTAAGGGAGAGTTGCCGTTCCTCCTCCCTACCGCTTTTATTAGTTTTAAAGGAGTGTTGCCGTTCCTCCTCCCTACCGCTTGTATTAGTTTTAAGGGAGTGTTGCCATTCCCCCCTCCTTACCTTTTTTTATTTGTTTTAAGAGAGTGTTGCCATTCCCCCACGCCCTACCTTTTTTTATTAGTTTTAAAGATACATTCCCGGTACAAACTGGGTGATTTAATGGTATATATGGACTAAAACCATATTCAAACTAATTAATTTGTCATAATTTTGCTTCAAATCCTTCTCAAACATAGTAATCGCGAAGAAATGCCCTGCTATAAAAATTCGATCAAACCAGGTCATGTTTACGTCACGTGACTTACCTCTCTTGGAAGTCAAGAGGAGAATTCCATGTACACATAAGACGATGTTGTCTTTAATCGCTTACTATTTATTACAAATATCAAATCCTAATTAAATTCTCGGGTTATCCACTACCCATGTCTTTTTCCGTCATTTTTATCTCAGAAAGTGTTGTACGTCTAACTCTTCATAAAGTTTATCAACTTGTACATCAAGCGCTTAATGTTCGCGTGTGACCTTTGACATCACGCTTGCAGAAATTCCTAATCATCAGGCTGTCGATTAGGGGAACCCTTACATTTTTGTCCTGTATACGCTTCATGAGTGTTTTTCAGGGAATCCAGTATTTTTCTAGTAAGATTGGATATCTCTACTTTCCATATATACCAAAATTGCCATACTTTTATTGGAAATAACCACTGGATAAATACTTTTCTGGGAACCCATCTTTAAGAGAGTGTTGCCGTGTCCCTTCCCTACCTCCTTTATCAGTGGTAAGGGAGTGTTGCCATTCCCCCTCCCTACCTCATTTATTAGTTTTAAGGGCGTGATGCCATTCCCTCTCTCTACATCTTTTATCAGGTTTAAAGGAGTGTTGCCGTCCCCCCTTCCCTATCTCTTGTATAATATTTTTTTAATCTGATGAATAAACTATTCACCTTGTTCAAATGGGAAATTATCCATCATTTGTAATCCTCCAATTACTATCAGTGATGGTTTAAACGTCTTTAGTTCTTCTTGAAAGTTTTCCAATGACTGAAGATATGGATTACCCGTATCACTGTGTAGAATTAATCTGAAATAAAAACAACATTTCATAAAATATCATTTGGTCTGTACCCCATAGGCCATTAAAGTGCAGGGGCCACATCCATAAAAGGACAGTAAAAAAAAAAAACAGATAAAAAAATCATAAAGAGATGACAGATGGAGCACAAACTAGGTCATTTCGGGACTAACATATGGTTCAAATTTTATTTCAATAATTCGGGGTTGACCATTAAAGCCAATGCTAATCACTTGACAGATTCTGAATTCCTTGTAAACTGTCAATAATCAATATCCATAATAATTCTTGCATTCATATCGTGGATCATTTCAAACTAAACTTATAAAATATTTACATACTAAGCACATAAACAATACTTTATAAGCAATAAATATAAATTATGTACATTTTCAACAATAATTAATTTACCATGACACCATAAAATTTTGTGCTTAAATGAAAACATTCACATGTCTTTTGATGGGTTGAAATATATAATTGATTTATTCACTTCGCCATTTTGAATTTCCTGTACTGTATTCACGGACTGTTTGTTCTTTGTTAACAGTAGGACATTAAAAAACATTTTATTTCATTTAGTTCTTTGTTTTTAGTGACTAAGCATTGTGTAATAATGTCAGTAAAAGTTGTTTAAATCTAATTAAAGATACATTATGGGAGATCAGATAAAGAGCAGGCAGTTCTCACTATAATAGTTAAAAACTAGATAATGTAAAGATAATTTGCTGAAAATTTCAGTCAAATTGATCCAATATGAACTGAGAATTAAGTGATTGAAATTTCGGCCTAGCCTCGATTATCATTACTAAAATCTGTACGATAAAATACATAGTCTCGATTATCCATTTCATGATTAAATCCTGATTGAAAATTGAGCAGCAAATCGGATCATAATCCAGTAAATATCGCAGGCTAACGATGCCATCGAGAGTTGATTATGGTCTGGATAAGTTAATTAATGTCTAATTAATAATTTAGATAACATTTCAGGTCTAAAGAAAGAGCTGCAATAGACAGATTTAGATCTTGCATAATGTATGTTTAATTTCTGTATTTTAAAAATGTAAAACAATGAAATGGTGTTTTATGATATGTCAGCACCAAACGAACATACGGTGATCATAATTAGAAAAACTAAATAATATCACAATAAAATATTTATATAAATGTAGATAAAATGACAAATATCACAGTCTAGTGAAAATGACATCAAATACATGTACAAAGCTATTTTATGTACGGTTTAAAAATATCTTAAATCTACAGTAGCTCAAGTGTGCCAAACAACTTGTACAATGACACAATAAAAATGTGATCTTACATCCTAAAACAGGAATGTTCCTAAAGTGCAATCTTAGCTAACATCCTAAAATGAGATCTTAACTTACATCCTAAAATGCGATCTTACATCCTAAAATGCGATCTTACATCATGGATCCTAAAAGATTCTAAAATGTGATTTTACATCCTAAAATAAGATCTTACACCCTAAAATGTGATCTTGCATTATAAAATGTGATCTTACATCCTAAAATGTGATCTCACATCCTAAAATGTGATCTTACATCCTAAAATGTGATCTTAATTAGATCCTAAAATGTGATCTTAATTAGATCCTAAAATGTGATCTTAATTAGATCCTTAAATGTGATCATGGATCCTAAAATGTGAATGTTCCTAAAATATGATCTTGCATCCCTAGATGTAATCTAACATTCTAAAATGAAAAAGAATGTCTGAAATCTAAATACTTAATTTGTTTTATGTTTTGCTGAGCAGTGACTCGGCATTGCATTATACATTAATGTTCAAATTAAAGTAGCTAAGTCTCTAACTCAATATCATCTAAAGTCTTTGGCAGTGAAAACACGAATTATTTGTCAAATTAAATCAACATTAATGTTGTAATGTTACCGGGAAAAAATGAACTTCTGATATCCAATATTTAAGACAAAATAAACATTCTACCATTGGTACACGAATCGTGTACTATAATGTTTTTCTAGGTCCCAAATATTAGAGATTTAGCTCCTTTAAATAAATTTCTGTATCGAAAAAATAGTTAAAAACAAAAACAGAATTCCTGATATTTAAAACTAAAGGTGTAAATTACCTGTTGGCTCTAGGTGAGACATATCTTCCCCATTTTTCACCTGTTTTATATTCCAGTACAATATGAACATCTTCCTCGGATGATGTTGTTTTACCTGTCACTGAAATTAATCCGGATAATGGTCAGCAAGTCTGGATAGATACAAGGCACCTTTCATAGTCACTATCAGACATATTGAGAGAGAGAGAGAGAGAGAGAGAGAGAGAGAGAGAGAGAGAGAGAGAGAGGTTTGAGGTACACTGGGCACAAACTAGGTCATTTTGGGACTAACATATGGTTCAATTTTAGTTTAGGGTCTTTAGCAGTGGGAGGAAACCAGAGGACCTGGAGAAAACCCATGAGGTTGGGCAGGCAACAGTACTCCTTGACACGTACAAATGAGGAAACGAAACCACGCCAGTTGACTCAACGACAGACCTTATGATACAGTGCACACATGCTAACCATTCGGCCATCCAAGCCCCCCCCCCCACTGTGAGTGAACAATTGCAGAAAGATGTGTGAACAGAAATAAACTATACAACCTTTCACATTTGGTGCTAAAGAACTAGCCAGGTTATTGGTCAATCGGGCACCTAACAATACATCCAGTCCCTCTAACGCCATCCTGTTGGCCATCACAGGAGCATTCCCACCAAGGTTCCAACGTCGACCTTGGATACTATCACTGATGTCCAGAATTGTTTGAAATAATGATGCATTACTGACATATCTCCTGAAATAGATAAATTCAAATTTCATAACAAATAGAGAGAGAAAAAAATGATTTTTAACGTCCACTCGACACAAACTATGGCATCTTTGGGACTAACATATGGTTGAATTTTATTTCAGTAATTCACTTGTGCATCAGGGTCTTTAGCAGCGGGAGGAAACTGTAGGACCCGGAGAAAACCCACGAGGTTGGACAGGAGACCTACTCCTTGTCACGTACAACTGGGGAATCACCAACTTTCAAGGGTTCTTTTACGTGCACACCAATGTGCAGGCCTCGAAATGTTTTAAAAAAGTTACCCGTCGCAGGTTTTACTTGCTACCTGTCAGACGAAAAAATCGCCTGTTGGCGACAAGTAGACAGGCGAACATTTCGAGCCATGAATGTGTACACAGGACCTTGTTTTTTCTGCCATCCAAATGAATACACATTGTCTCTTGCCAGACCCTTTCATCCTGCACCACTGACAAAGTGAAACCATGTCGGAAATTCCTGAGAAACTTTCTAGGGTAACACCCTAAAAATGGTACAGTAAGCATACACTTCCTCATGCACTACACCCTATTGACAGTCTATTAAACTAGTATTTACTGACTAACCCCCTTGTTGAATGAGTTCCAATGGAAAACCTGAAACCTGGAAATAAGGTATGAATTGATAAGCAAAGCAGTCTCTGGAGGTTTTGCACTTAGAATATAATCTAGTAATCACCATTTACAGTAAGTGTTTCAAACATTTTCTCATGCTTAGGGAGAGAACCCATGTGGTACCTCCGCCCAAAGTGCAATATTTGCAATGATTTTGTAATTTATTGGGTATGTCAGCTAAATTCTGATGCACTAATGTTAGCCTAAATTGCTTTTATAGAATTTCCATTTCGTTATTTCACAGCCCATTGATTCAATGATTGATAAACCGGTTTGTAGTGTAACCAGTTTGACAAGTATTTAGGCTACCGCCAGTACCGGTATACTTTATACTTACTCTGCTGCCGCACCGTGTTGGAAAAAATAAGCAGCTAATTTCGCAAGTTGCTCTGTGCTGTTGACGGAATCAAAATGTTCTGGAGTCTCTGGCGGCAACAGGTTCAATCCGTCAATCACCGATAACGCGTCGACAAAAATATCAGAACAACTGCCAAATCCCAGGGCAACTCGAGTTTTTGGTTGTGGAACTTTTCTTTCGGCCCTCAGCAATCCTGATAAAACATGTCCTAAACGATCATTTAGATTGTCGTTCGTCTGTTTTCGGTACAAATAGGCAGCCAATACAACCAACAGGGTGATCAAACTCCCAACCTTCACGGACATCGACATGTTTTCAGTGTTGTCGTGCTTGTGTCACGCATCGATCACTGATCATGTCAATGTCAACAAAATAAGTGATTAGGAGAGTTACTTCCCTTATACTTCGAGCCCGGAAAAATACTGTAGTTGTTTCCCTTTGACCACACATGTACAAAAAAAATGGACTGGCTCACAAAATATTGTCCGCGAATCTGCGAAATCACTTCGACATTCATTTCTTTCAAAGTTTAATTCTCTATAGTACCTTCGTAATAGGTGAATTTCAATTTATAATCGATTCCAGATATGCGCCACAAATCACCATTGATTTTTCACAATTTTCTCAGAGGAGGACCACCGAGGAAACTTCCAGATCTCCACTAACCAAATATTCCGCGTACGCCATTACCTATTTCTGTGGAAAGGGGCGTTAAATATAGCTATTTCACACATACCAAAATTAATGCGAAATCATTAGGAAATGTTAAAGAATATATAAATTTGAAATAAAATGTAAAATATATAGAATTCCAACTGTCAATGGTTCTTTTACATGCACACCAATGTGTACAAGGCACGTCGGTTTTTCGTCCCACCCGAACGACTAGTCCATTGAAGCTAATTTGTCGCGCAGCGTGCCAGTGTATAAACCGGTTTGGTGTGTACATAGGGTATTTCATTAGGCCTACATAATATATACAAAACCATAAAGTATATAAATTTAAGGGCCCACTGATGAATTTGGTCTATAAAGGGCCCATAAGTAGATAAATCCGACCCTGTGACTATCTATAGACAATTTAACTTTAACTTTGTTGCGACACATGACTTATGAAGACAGCCAAAAACCATAATAATCGATATAAGAGTAGGCCGTAATGCCGCTGCCCGGGCAAAATGTCCCTTATTGCACACTGCATTGTGATGTCCGTCTTTATTAGCACAGACGAAGCAGAACAGAAAGGCGTTAAACCCCATTTCATTTCATTTTGTTTTCCTTGCATTTAGATTGTTGTGGAGAACATCGATTTAAGGTAGCTTATGACAGCCTTCTTCGGATGGAACGAAATACCGAGGCCCCGTGTACACATTGGCGTGCACGTAAAAGATCCCTTAACAGTTGGAATTCGATATAAGAGTAGGACGTAGTGCCACTGGGCAAAGTTTGCCTCATAGCACTGTTAGGCGTATACCAGGGCCGGCGGAAGCAATTCTTGATTGGGGGGGGGGGGGCTTCCATCCTAGGTCCTTATAGGCATCCTAGGTCCTTATAGCCCCCCCCCCCCCTAGCCCCCCCACTCGCCATTATCACAGAACAGTAAGACGTTAAACCCCATTTCATTTCAGTGATACAAAATATCCATGTCAGATAACCTCTCGACTTGGATTCAATCGGATTACCGCTGACCACTGCCCTGGCAAAATTCACCTCATTGTATTGTATGCCTGTCTTCATTATCCCGGATGGAACTAAGAAATAGGACGTTAAATAAAACACATTCTATTTATCAACCGAAGCATTTATAAAGATATTTCTTCAAGAAAAGGGGGGTTGGGTGGGCGAATGGTTAGCACGGGCGCGTTGTATTGTAACGTCTGTCATTGAGTCAACTGGCGTGGTGTCGATTCCCCGGTTGTACGTGACAAGAAGTAGGGTCGCCTGTCCAACCTCGTGGGTTTTCTCCGGGTCCTCCTGTTTCCTCCCACTGCTAAAGACCCCTACGCGCAAGCGAATTATTGAAATAAAATTGAACCATATGTTAGTCTCGAAATTACCTAGTTTATGTCGAGTAGACGTTAAACCTCTCTATGAACGAAGTTTCGTCTAGGATTCTATGTTAGTCCACGGGAGTCTGACCCTCTATCCGTATAATATGCAATACACCATGCCCAACCAGACAATATTGTTTTTTATTATATACTAGAAGAATGCCCGGCTTCGCTCGGGGGTCATAACCCCGAAACCGGAAGTGATAGACTAACGCCACCTGGCCTATGTTACTTCCCGGTCCGAGCTACCCCTATTCCCCAAATTTCAGACTCGGGGCAGACCTAGTGTAGCCGCCAACCCCGAACAGACAGACAAACAGACAAACAGACAGACAAACGACAGTCACAAATATTAGTATAATAGATTGTCTGGTTAGGCATGGTGTATGCATATTATACGGATAGAAGGTCAGACTCCCGTGGTTAGTCGAAATATGGCTCCGTAATAACCATATTCCATAGAATTGTGTCTTGTATATTCCAGTTCAATTACTATTGAAACAATTTATGGTTGTTTTCATTTCTTGCATTGCTTTATGCTAGGTTCCCACTGTCGTGCGATTCGTCCCTATCGTCTCTAATTGAGTCCACGATCTCTCCCCCCCCCCTCTCTCTCTCTCCAAGAATATATATTGTTTACTGTTTACCTACATAAAATTATAAGCCCTTTAAATCAATGTAGTTTTCTTGAAAAGAAAATATATTATAATAGAATTGGAGGCCTACTGGCTTTTAAAAATAAAAAAAAATCGAATAGAACCGGAACAGCTTGCAAATTATCAATAAAACCACGTGGTGTGAAATTGGAAATTTATTTGGTTTTGATATAAGTTAAAAAGTTTAAAATAGACACCCACGTTACACGAATATTGTTCGATCTTGGGTGAGCTAGATCTATCTGTTAAGGCCAGCTCAATTTTCGTCAAGGTCGCTGAGATGTAAATAAGGTTAAGGCACGTGATTGTTGGCGAGATGGTTAGGTTTAAGAATTTGGGGGAGAGGTTAAGTTAGGGCTAGGTCCAGGGTTAGGGTTAGGGTTGGGATTAGCGCTAGCCCTGTTTACATCTCATGACCTTTGGCCAAACTTGAAGTTGACCTTATTAAATAGATTTAACCTTCTTGAGTGAGTGGTATTGGGTGGTGTTGCGTGGTTAAATGGTTAGCGTGTGCACAAGATCACACAGTCTGTCATTGAGTCAAGTGGTGTGGTTTCGATTCCCCGCTTGTATATGACAAGCAGTATGCTCGTCTGTCCAACCTCGTGTGTTTTCTCCGGGTACCCCAGTTCCCTCCCACTGTTAAAAACCTCCACGCACAAGCGAATTGTTTAAATAAAATTGAAACATATGTTATTCCCAAAATGACCAAGGCTGTGTCGAATGGACGTTAAAACCCATTTCCACCTCTTTACAGTTGGAATTCGATACTAGATCGTAGCGCCACTGCCCGGGAAAAATTCCCTCAAAGCACACTTCATGGAGCATGTCCATCTGCATTAGCCGAGTCGGTAGAGAAAAGTAGGACGTTAAACCACATTCCAGTGTTACAAAAAATCCACGGTAGATAATCCCTCGACTTGGATTCAGTCGGATTACTGCTGGGTTGTTAGATGGATATTGAAATGGACCCGTCCGTCCGTCCGTCCGTCCTTCCGGGTTTTGTTTCGAGAGTAAATGAAATGAAATGAAATGGGGTTTAACGTTCCACTGTTCTGCTCCTAACCTGGGCTAATGAAGACGGGCATACGCCATACGGGACCTCGGTTTTTCGTCCCATCCGAACGACTAGACAGCTGTCCTTGTCAGGCCCTCCGTCCTGCATCACTGACAAGGGGAAACCACGACAGAAAATGTTTCGAGAGTATATCTCCTAAACTATTCAAGATGTCTTTATGAAATCACTAAACACACCAAGCTGTGATTTACGTCAATTTGATTAAAATACAGAACTATAATATTTCGTTTCGTTTTTTTTATAATTTCGTAAAACAAGTAAAACGAAATTTTGAAATATAAAATACGAAACGAAATAGGATCTGCGTTTTAATCAGATTGGATTTATGCTAATTGGAATTCCCTCAGATTCAATATTTTTTTGTCTTTAAAATTTCTATAGAAACAAATTTGACTTAGTTTTGGGTATGTTATCATCGCGCCCACCTAGAATGTTAACAGATGGGGTGATTAGTAATCCCGGTCAGACTCATGTTAAAGTCATAAAGCCCTACATTCAGAAATAGAGTTTCAGCCTTTAGTCGCCTTTGAGGAATTGGTAAAATTTGTGCATAACCTAGAAACACCACGGCATACTCTAGAAAACAATTTCAGTCAGTTTTCAGTGTCCAGTACGCTCGTTCACAAGAGGAAGTGGTCGATTTCGAAACCTCATTTCCGACTAAATCTATTTGTTAAGGCCAACTCAATTAGTTTTGTCAAGGTCGCTGAAATGTAAATAAGGCTTATAGGGCACGTGATTGTTGGCGAGATTGTAGGTTAGGGTTATCGTAAGCATTGGGGCTAGGTTCAGGGTTAGAGTTAGGGTTGATATTAGCTTTACCCTATTTACATCTCGTGACCATGACATAAAATTGAGCTGGCCTTATCATTTAGCACTAAGTATATATAAATACGTCATAAACTGTTCAATATATTAACAATATAAGTAACCACATACCTATGTATTAATCCAAATACTATACTAAATCTAACCAATAACCAGCTGTTATATTTTACACGAGTTTCTATGCTTTTTAGTTTTTGTGACACGGATAAAAATAAATGAAAAAGTCAACTGAATTATCGAGAAAGGCAACGGTTACCAAATAAGGGAGATTGTATCGTTCTGCCGTGACGTAACACAGAGGTGTCAACGTCGTGTATATCACAATACGATTAAAACACAGATCTTATTTCGTTTCTTTTTTTATTGTTCAAAATTTCGTTTTACTTGTCTTTACTACACTAGGATCTGAAGGAGTTGTCAGTCGGCAAACCTCGGCAGATTCCGTTACATGTAGGGTACTTGAATCTGCTAAAGTTTGCCGAGTGGAGGAGTTGTTATATAACCCGCGTTGAGTTATTAGCCAATGAAACGATCTGTTAGGGCGAATTTTTGGCGTGAGGTGCACGGAAAATGATTGGTTAATCATTAATAATTAAATGTCTGCCGTGATTGAGTTAAAAGCCGCTGTGTGAACTTTCACTACAACCGGCATAGGCGTAAGAGCTCAAAGTAATTCAGGGGGGCATAAGAGAAAATTGCCCGAAATCAATACTGTTTTGTCGGGCATACATATCATAAGAGAGCTTCGGGCATATTT